AGGAATCCAAAATTTCTAGAATTCAGGTAGTGCTAAATTTATGATGCTTGTGTTGGAAGGTTGTAAAAGCAATTAATAAGGATGTATAACTTGTGTAGACGATGTTATACTGATTGAAAATATATTATTTTGTGTTACATTAGGAATCCTGAATTCCTAAAACTTAGGTAATTCTAAATTTATCACATTTGTATTGTGAAATTGTATAAGTAATTAATAAGGAGTTACAAATTGTATAGATGGTATTACACGGATCAAGAATGGTTTGTTATCTTGGTATGTTAGGAATCCTAAATTGCTAAAATTCAAGTAATGCTAAATTTATGATGCTTATGTTGTGAGGTTGTACAAGTGATTAATAAGGATGTACAACTTGTGTAAACGGCATTACACTGCTCAGGTACACTTTATTTCCTGTTATGTAAACATACAAGCACTAAATTTGACATGATCTCCCTACATGTGCACATGATCAATTTGTTTTCATGTAAAAGTACTACACGGTGCTCAAAATATCACCAATTAATTTAGTATATTAGAAGAACTTTTATTTTGTTTGATGGAATCAATTGAAATCCAATAATTAGTCAAACATATGTGTTGGATAATAACTCTAATAATTGCCACAAAGAGGTTCACAACTATAACACTATCCATTCTCATTGCATTCACAAATTTACAAAAAATGTTATTATTTTTCTAACATGGATGAACTTTTTCCATCTATTGACCTTAGCAAAAACAAAAACTATTTGAATATAGTCATTTGTTTATTAACTTGCAAGTGGTCATTTCAGTGTACATCCGACTTCAAGCATTGGTACGAGTTAGCCTCGTTCTATTTGGAATCTGCAAGGTCATTATGATTTCCTTGAAGTTAGCATTGTGCTCTGAAGTACATAGCTAAGCTGTGTACAGCAACCAATACTCGGTATCGTTTTGCTGCAAATTTTTTTAAGTCCAATCATTCATTTTTCCACATAAGGTATTCAGTATATAAACAACTAGCTTTGTAGGTTATGGGATATGAGCAATTTCAATAAATCTAAATGATGCGCAGCCAACCTTTTGCTCCAGTGATCTTGGTACTTCATCATGAATATTAAAGTCACCAAAAAATTATACGTTATCGGGTGATAGGTGAGAAATATTGACAACATTGAAGGTGAAATTACTAAAGTCAATTTCCCTTCGAAACTTTGTCGCCATTACCAACCCAAGTGCAGAGTTCTATTTATCATATTGGTAAGTAAAACAAACAAAATATTGAATTGTTTAGGAGATGACAACCAAACCATAGCAGTAAATGCCAGTACTTAATCTAGTGAGCGATAGATTAAGCCAAAGTGATTACAAATGGAAAACATAAAGTAATTGCAATTTATTATCACATAGAATATTTAAATTCCCAACTTACACTAACCTTTCCTTTTTATGCTTCCCAAAGCCAACCGTGCTAGTGTTTGTGTCATCTGACCACTATAAGCATGACTACCAGAATATAAGGGCTAGTTATAATGGTAGTGGGATCTCTGAAATGCTTTTCGGAGCCTTTAATTCAGCTACAAAAATATCTATCACATTGCCATCAATAGTAATTACTTGATCAGAGTAGATTGCTAAGGTTAATTATGAATCAAAATCACCTATGGTGGATTTTGTTAGGGGTGCTTCACCAGCCACATCTCCCTCAGTTGCTATGGGATGTTGCTGCTTATGTTGATATAGTCAAATACATTCAAAATGCACTACTAAGTATGATATAGCATATTCAGCACACTCAACATCAAGAATATTCAGTCTAACACATACATACTATAACCCACACTCATACCAATCAAGTTTAACTTCATAAAATTCAAATACTGGGTTGCTACTATACAAATAGGTATCAAGTGACAAATATTAAGTAACAACTATTAATCATTCATAGTGTTGCACTTCCTTTCCTCTCCTTGCTTTTATTTTTTCTCTTCTATTGCCAATCTCATTCATTTTGTTTAAGGGTACGTTTGGTTCTACAGAATTAGAATTGAAATTCTATAGAATTGGAATTCTATGAATTGGAATTCCAAGTCATTTCAATTCTTTCGTTTGGGAAATGCATAGAATTGATACGGAATTTATTTGAAATTCCAAATTCTTTGTTTGTATGAGAGAAGAATTCATTAGGAATTAGAATTGTTTCAACTAATATTTCCTTACGTAAAAAATTTCTTTTTTTACTATATAATAATTTTTTAACATTTAGCTAATTGTTACTAAAGCTTTAAGGAAAAACCAATTAGTACCTTTAATAATTTATTTTTTCTTGCATTTAACTAATTGTTAATAAAGCTTTAAAAGAAAAAAAATTAGTTCCTTTTTTGCAAAAATAAAAAATTCTTTTTTTAAAAAAAAATTAAATTAAATTAAATAAAAAATAATTGTATATTCTAACTTAAAAAGTAGTTAATATTTATCGAGTTAAAACCTTGATACGTTTTTAAAGTTAAGAACTTTAAATTTTAGAAAATCAAAAGCCTACTCTATGATATGAATTGGGAGGAAAGTCATAACTTGTACCTATTATAAATATTTGAGTTTTGTATCTTACAAGAAATTTCAATATAGGAATACAATAAATAGAGGAATACGCAAACAAAGTGTTTTTAGCCAAAAAAAAAAAGAGAAAGAAAAGCACAATTATACATTGCTACTATTTTTCAATAAATGGCCATTCTAATATGAAATTAAGTTCGAATAAATTCCTATCAAATTTCAACTTCCATGATGGCCTTGTCTAATTTGATAGTCAATAAACATTGCTCGTGCTAAAGCATTCCTAAATTGTGTCCACTCGCTAGTTGGTTGTACTGTTCGAATTCGATTCTCGTTAACAGCATTTACACCACCATCATTATTTGGACCATCATCTTCCATTCCATTTTCCTTATCTTCATCTTCCATTTCATCTTCATCATCAACCTCATGTTGTACTCTTCGCATCTCAGCATCAACTTCATCCAAGTAAGGGTCATTTGGTTGTTCTACTCGAATAAGATTATGAAGGATGGCACATGCATTAATTATCATGACATGAGTCTTAACATCAAAAAAAGATGCATCTCTCAAAATGGCCCACCGCTTCTTGAACAAACCAAATGTCCTTTCAATCACATTTCGAGCAATTGAATGTCGAAGGTTGAATAACTCTTTAAAATTTTGAGGCTTGCTCCCACTAGCAGACCACTCGCTAAGATGATATCTAACTCCCTATATGGAGCTAAGAAACCGGAGCTATTTGCATAACCCGCATCAACAAGAAAGTACTTGCCTGTAATGTTAGACAACAAATTATTACTCATTTATAGTTAAAAGAAAAAAAAACACTTGATATCTAATTGTCACATACCTTGGGAACAATTAATGGATCTGATCTAACTAACGCATCCCGTAGAACTCTACCATCTGCTGCAGAACCTCCCATCCAGGCAATACATATGTAAATCTCATGTCACGGGAGCATACACCTAAAACATTTGTTGCTATCTCATTCTTCCTATTCATATATCTTCCTTGATCTCTAAGAAGAACATGTACTTTAACATAAGTACCGTCTAACGCTCCAAGACAATCCTGTATTATAAACAAAATATCATAAGTTGATGAATCTTGTATATATTATCTTCATTAATAAATATCAAAAAATATTGATTACCTGAAACCATTCCCACTTTTCATGCTCGTACCCTTCCATTTCCGATTCAGGCTGGATAAGATAGTGTCTCCCCAATTTTATGATAGCACGTAGAACTATATTAAAGTATCGACTAACTGTCTCACCTGATCTTATGAAATTAAAATTGACAGTGCGATTCTTAAAATTATGAGCAAGAACATAGAGAAACATTGCAACTGCCTCTTCAACAGTAATATTTCTAGTATCCGTCAACCCACAATGCTCTCTTAAATTTGTACATAAAACAGTAAAACAATGTTTATTGAGTCTAAGTTGCTCTACACAAACTCTATTGTTTCCATAGTAAAGACGCCTTAGATATATTTCACGTGCTACTTTAAAGTCCAAGTAAGGCTCCTTTACTATATGTTTCTCATGCCACCAAACTACTAATGTAGCTATTGTTACCATATAATTTGCAACTACCACTTTTCTCTTTTTTGCTTTGCTCGTCTCCTTCTTTATCCATGTCAATATCCAAAATTCTGCAATTCAAAATCATGACAACAATAAGAAAAGGTAAGTCAAAAGACCAAATCATGCCAAACTAGCTATTAATTCAAAAGACCAAATTAGCTATTGGAAAACTCTCAAACAAAAATTACAGCTATACCTATCACTGCAAATATCCCAAATCATGCCAAGTTCCATGCAAAATAATGCATAAGAAAAGGATGTCCGTACTTGAATTTTTAATCATATGCTTTAATAAGCTCTACTGCACTATGGTAAACAGAGATTAAAAGTAGGGATTGGATTATATATACCAAACAGAAGAAAAAGGCTGAAAATTAGGCCCTGCTCGTTGATCAAGACGTCAATGAGTTGGTCCCATTAGTCATAGTTTATCCACTACTCAATAATACGTACTAACTTGATGGAGCTTTATCAAGCCTCTACAACTTTAGCTTTGTCCTTAATCAATGCAATGGCACTTTCAACCGCAGAAAGTCCAACAATAATCATTGGGTTCGTTCCTATTCTCTTATTCTATCATCGAGATTAACCGAAGTGATACCCAAAAAAAATATTGCAAGAAATCGAGAACACAAGAAGACAGAAAATAGGAGCTGTATGTATCTCCTACTGCTGAAAGAAAGAAAGATATATAAACAAGCTATCCGAAACAAGAAAAGAACGCTTCAGTAGAGCCCCTTTTGTCAATCCTTTTTCTCTAGCAGCAATAGCTGTCGAAGATGCAGGAATTAGATGATTTCTGCAGAGTGCTCTCTGATCAATGGGTACTCTGGACATAAGTACACTATCACCAAGAGTACCAATGGTGGAAGATGTGGAATGCAGTGAAAAACATACTAGAGCGACAGTGCAGATTATTGTGGATAACACAGAAATAAAGGCAAGAAAGGTGCTTCACTACTATTCTCGTCTTACTTGCCCGGCTTACTTTGATATAGTTGATAAACTTGGACTCGATTTAACTAACTGAATTCAAACCCACTCCAGTCACAACACAACAAATTAGTGAGAGGAAGCAGAAACGAAAGCAGGCCTTCAATCATTAAGAAATGCACAACTTGACTAGAAAGGTTAAAATATCAATTATCAAGATAACTAACAGCTCATACAGATAAACACGTCAATTCAATCCAGCTCATACCACTAGAAACATGAAGAAGATGGTATCAAATTGACGAGTTTCCCCAATCCAAAATATACCTGCTTACCGGAAAAGTCAATAAAATTCTCAAATTGAATCATATTATCCAAAAACCCCAAATTAGAAGCTAAACAAAAGATAAAAGAAGGTCGCAACAAAATGGGAGTTCATTTATGTTAGCCTCTACTGAGTTTAAGAAGTGGAAGGTTCATGGTGATGCCTTGACCAATGCGGCAATTTAGAATATTTTGTGCATGTCATGTAGATGGTGTAAGATGCTGTAATCATTGTTGATTCTATTATCAATCCATGTGAATCAAATCCAACAGTAATCTATATAGATAGTACGTTAAAGTTTCTTCTGTTAGATTTTTTCTTGTTGAAAGAGAAGTAAGAACTTTTTCTTCTGTTACCTCCTAGAAGCATAGAAGCCATAACATTCTGTGTTAAATCATTTGCAGAGTTGATCTGCTTAGTGTCTCGCAGGTAAAATCTGTCAAGAACAGAAGCAGCCTGAAAGTTGGGGCGCAGTCATGCTAAGTCGCTCAAAGTGTCACTTCAAGTGTTAATTCAAGCTCTAATTCGTATGCTCAAAGATTATTCCGTTGCTCAAATTTAGATATCTTTGGTCTACTTTTTTTTCTTTTTTACAAAATAACCCACTTAATTTTTTGAAGTGATTATTATATTAATTTTTACAGTTAAGATAAACTGAACTTTGTTGTATAACCATCTACTGCAAACTTTTCCATACCTCAGAGAACTCTGTCCCAGGGATTTTCAATTGATTCATTCTTTACAGTCATAACTAAGCTTTCCAATCTGAAAAAGTTGTCATTAGTATCCCTGGGAATATGGGGACCATTGCCTGCCAAGGTTGATAGGCTTGATTCTCTAGAGGTGCTAAACATTAGTTCCAACTTCATTCAGGGTGGCATCCCCCCAGAGATTGCCACATTCAAGAATCTGAAAAGTCTTGTTTTGGCTTATAATCTGTTAAATGGAAGTATTCCCGATCTGAAAGGCCTATCACAGCTTGAAGAGCTAGATATCAGTAACAATCCTCTTGGTCCTAAGTTTCCTTCTTTAGGCAACAACCTAGTACGTATCAATCTTAGGAGCATGGCTTTGAGATCCCAAATTCCTCCAGATTTCATTCTAATTCTATCATTTCACACCCAAAATTTTTATGTCCAAATCGATTAAATATTTTATAACTTTAAAAAAATCCCCTGAAAATCATTTTTCATATGGGGTTCATATCCGGAAAATAATTTTACAACTACTCTCGACTAAATATATATTCAGTGTGTGCAATCATCTAAAAATCGAAGCAAAGGAGAGCTTTTAGTTGTTACCTTCCGGACTGAAGAACCCAGTTCGTGAAAATTAAGCACGGGTAAGTAGAGAGCACTCGGAGCAGTCTTGCGATTGGTGAGGGATAGCCGGAGAAGCAAAAAGCGATGCCGGAGACGGTGGTGGAAGAGGCAAAATGTTAGGGTGGAGGTGAAGGCGATGACGCAGAGCAGAAGCAGTTGCGGTTGAGGAAAAGTGATCGAGAGAGAGGGCTGCTTACCTAGTTGACCCGATTTTAATTTTTTACCCACAAGATCCGCGTGTAGACCCGTTTCACAGGGTTTAGTTGTGGAATTGGAATTAGAATTCTTTTGGTCCAATAAAGAATTCAAATCATGGAATTGACCCCTATAGAATTCAGATTCAATTCTAATTCTTTACTGAAGCAGTATCCAAACAACAGATTTGGAATTGGGGCCCCAATTCCAATTCTAAACCTCAATTCCATGGGAAACCAAACATACCCTAAATATAATTATGCTAATGGATTACTAATTTACAATTGTATGAGAGTATTGCTACATTGTCACTCTTTGTTCATATAAAACAACAGGTATTCAACATGATATAAAGGCACGCTACTAAAATATATTGTAACCATTCTTTTTCACTATGTCAGTTATATTGAACAATATGTATATTTAGACTAATACACATAACCTAGAGTCTACACTCATTGCAATCAATTTTGAAGCAATCCATTTCAACTAGATTGCTACTATACGAATAGGTACCGACTCACGAACACGAGGTAACAATAGTTAATGCTAGTATATTGTGTGCACTTTCCTATCTCCTTCCCCCTTTCTTTTTAAATTTTCCTCCTGTTGTCAATCTTCCATACCTTGTTTTAATATTGTTATGTTAATGGATTATTGATTTTCAATTGCATCAAAGTATTGCTCCAACGACACTAATTAGTCACATGATGTAATACATAACCGACAAAATGCATAGGCACGCGTAATAACCTTGTAACCAATTTTTAATAGTAGGTGAGGCACATTGAACACTGTGTAAATTTAGCATAACACATACAAATCCCAATCAACAGTAATGCTAATCAATTGTAAAGCAATTAGTTCTAATTATTGATTTACATTGCATCCCACTATTTCTCCACCATCATTGGTTCATCTAAAAAAATATTTGCTATCCAACATGATATTAGGACATACTCATCTAAACATCTTCGCCTATATATATCTACTTTTGATGAGCCATTTTGCTTACCTTTTCTCTTCATATGTGTCTCAGTTTATCTCAAAGTGATCACCCATAAACACCTAGTAATAGTATATACACCATAAGGTTAGCTTGCTTACCTAAAAAAATACAACCTTTTAAATTTTCCTATTCTTTTACTTGCCCAAAACCTCCTTGCTTATTGTGGAAAGTTTCTCATATAGTTCGTATAATGAATCCACCATTCTTATTATTGTGGAAACTCATGACTCCTGTTTATCCTCTACTAGAAATTCCTACCAATAATTGGTTGGATAGTCGTCCTTTACTTTTTCACAAACACATGTTGTGCAAAATTTTCTTCTACTTTCCTCCTTCATATGGTCCATCAACATATTTAACTCCTAGTATTCATACAGTTTTCCCGAACAAACTTTCTATTTTATTTTTTTTTTTTATAGTGTTTCAATCAAGTTGTGTGCTTAAAACAAGTACAAGTTAAATTGTTCCACACCATTGTCAAAATATACAAATTATGTGATAAGCTTGCAGTATTATTACCTAGGTATGTCTCTGCTTAGTTTTTGCCCCGAATCCCCCATCTCCCACTTTACAATTCGGGTTCATCTTTCCTAAGCTGTTTTAGATTTCACACTTCCAAGACTATCTCTCTTTGCCACTATTTCTTCCTTCTCCTCATTGTAATTTCTGTTTGGTGACAGTGCATTTCCACCATTTTTCTTTTTTGCCCTTGGTCTGCCACTTTCCTATTCTGCGATGTTATTTTGACATATGCTATCTTGCCCTATTTTCTAGAGTTGTGGATGAATGAATATTGGCAATTATTTTGGAGGGAATGCAAGGGACTTTTTTGTTTCAATGATTGCTTCCTGTTCATTTGGGCAGAATTCTATGGAATGGAGTCCTTACACTTTGTGACGAAATCTGTTGAAGACATCTTCTTTTTTTTTTTAGCCTTACTAATTTAAACAAGATCGTTTTGTCTCCTACTTATTCCCATTTTGTCTCCTACTTATTCCCTTGCGACATGGCTCTTGCTAAGCCTCTTGTTGGAGCATGTGAGAGGACCGCTCCTGAACAGTCCATATGATGGCCGTTTGTACCCCATATCCAATACATGGAGATATTAATGATAGCTGAATTCAGCTATCCGATACTCGGATCAGCATCAATTCATATAACATTGTTTCATAAACCGGTCAATGGTAGCATGATTAACTTTAATATTGACCATTCATTAACTTTCACGCCAAACTTGACCTTGTTTGGACTCTGTAAAAAATTTTTATGTTTTTTGTAAACACATTTTTCAATCATTTTTTTATCTCATATACATCAAATCGCTACAGTTTATTTTCCTCCAGAAAATAGCAGTCCAAAAACATCAAATCTCTCAGACATTGATTTCAGCAGCAAATCAGAAAACAAAACTGTAGCTCAACTCCGGTGTCCTCTTCACTGTCTTTGCTGCACTGTTTTCTTTTTCTTTTCAAACACCCAGTACTTAAAGATATCCATATGTACAAGCAAGTCAACAGAACATTAATATCCGTGATAATTTTAGGTGCAAACAATTCATCAACCAGAAGCACTCTAGTTCTAAACCATAATTTAACGTGGCAAATTGATTGGTAGAAAATGTCATCTAATATAAAAGTAATTTCAAATCTAAATATAGGCATAACAGAACACCCATGGACTTGAACACTACCACAAATCTGGTAATGCAAACCTGCATTCGAGCAAGGTGCAAATGAGCTGTTGGGAGATCACTTGACAACACAAGTATTTGCCTCCAAAAAGGACCTAATGCATCCAGCCACAGATAGCATCAGAACCTCAGTAGCGTAGTCAGTTACAATTCAAGTAAAATTACACCCAGTCGGTGGTCAAGTAATTGACTAGGTGAAAGAAGACTCCTGGCAGATCTGAATCAGTACACGTTGGTACAACTTCATGACTTACCCTCCAGTACCAACTAATACCCACATCCACAGCACCTGCCACCCCAGCATCTCCAGGACCTGCTTCGAAAGGATAAGCACCTTCAATGCTGAACACCAATAAATGAATCCAGATAAGTTCCAGCTGCAAGCAAGCTAAGCACTTCAGATACAAAGCACAGCACGAAAAGAGCAAATAATATTTTAATTATATGTGTGATTTAACCCCTATATTTACACGTCTGTATGTGTATTCAAAAGCAGTCTGCAAATGTAGTGCTCCATTTAAGCTTACCATTACACATTAAGCTCAAAGGTTTCTTCGACTTAACTGCAATGCAAACTGATCAACAGCCACCATAGCCCGAGATGCTGAGCCAATGGAACCGTCGTATCTATGGAAACTCCCAAGAAATGATATCAAGTCAATTGGTGAAACAGATAATAAGACTATTCAGAACTAGCAAAAGAATGCCCAGAAAGCAAGATGAGCATGTGCACAGAATGATCCAATATGCTTACAGTCCAACCAAGAGAAATGCCGCAGTCTGCATCACAATAGCACCTTCCCCAGCAGCTTTCGAGGTGTTCATGCATCTTGCACTGAACCAGCTCTCATGAATGGATGTGACAAGATCTATCACCAAAAACTTCATCAACTATATTTCAAAAACTTATCTAGAAACAACTAAATAAAGACCCCGTAACTTATTCTTGTTATGTAATAATTCCTCAAAGGGTTACCACGTTCAAATGAATCCCCCAAGTTACCAATTTTAACGATAAGTTCCTCGAAGATAATTTTGGAAGCAGTAGATAATACAGCTCTAGGAACAAGAACAGTTTCTCATATGTTCCAAATAGTACTTTCTTCCATAAAAGGTAATATTTTACAAATAGTTCACAGTCAAAACAAATATGGCTTTACCCAGTTCTCAGTGGTGGAATCATATCTTTCAGTTTTTCCCTTTTAAGTGGACACACTTTAGAAGAATTTCATGCATTCAGGAATTGCACCTTTAAAGCAAACCATACATATGCAACTTCAATATTTACATAAACGTGGGAATGAACTATAAAGTGCACTCTGATTGAAGAGCAGAAAATAACAACAAAGTAGGAAGAAACTTGGCCAATCTAGAGAAGGAATGCAATAAACCACATATGCTGATATGAGGAGTAAAACATCAATACAGTTCAAGTTAACAGAGGATCCAAGAGACCAAACTAAAACCAGCAGACAAGAAGTATAATAGATAATGGTTATATTTGGAATAAATTTGTAAAAGCAGAATACTCACATTGATTCTGTCCGATAAAGAAGCTCTCAGCCTGAAGTTTGTTTCTTTTGACGAAACTAACAAATTGACTCAATTCCATTGGATCTGCTTTTACAGTTTCTTGCTCTACACTGTAAATAATGCAACCAAGCTTGAATCCTATCCTTAGTATGATCCACTAATAATGCACAAGCATAGAGTCAAGGCATGATAGAAACCATAACGTTTTGCCCTCAACAGAGACAAATACCAGCATTTGATTGTTTTCTTACTCAGATTAAACAATAAGGAAAAAACAATGTATATGCAGAATACCAAGGAGCTGCATACAAAGTAAACCAAGCAAACAAGCCCCAGAATTTGTGAGAACGACCGCAAGCACTAAGACTCCAATATTCCTGACCAGGATGTTACATTTTCTTGATCAGAAAGTCTTAAGAAAACCTTAACTCAATCAATATCTCTCCTCCTAGAAACTATTGTGCTTCCAACTAGGAATTTAAATCAACAACAGTCCAAGTGCTGAAAAAAGCAATCAAATTCTGACTCTGACACTGAAATTTTGTGGAGAAATGTTTGTATTTCCTAATTGTGTAGAAGCAAATCATCAGTCAACAGCAACCAAGAGTTCATGTCACACAAACATTGGCCAACAGTTCTACTTCACATGGGCGTATAGGAATGCATTGTTAATCTCCTCAGTAGCTTTTGTCTGATAGGAAAAATAAGGACTTGCAAATCACCAGCTGAGAAATACTTGTTGAACTTCAGCTCTGTACATGGATTAACCAAAATTGGACACTTAAAGCAGAAATCAGTGTTTGTCATAAATTAGTCAAAGTTCATAGCTTAGGATAGTGTTATCAACTTGAATATTTTCAATAGCAGGAAAAAAGACTGTCAAAAGATGAGACTTATATCAATAAGAGTAAATATGTTGTAAAACTCAATCACAATAATTGAGATCAATATAGAAAAACTTTAAATGCCCATCTTTTTTGATGTATGAGTAATTAAGTCATACATATTCAATAGAAGCATAACATATTTGCCAAAATGCATTAACTAATAAAAAGTTAAGACATTCCAAATATGTAACTATTTTTCTTCAAATACATTTCTCTCCATGATACACAGTAGATAATTTACAAAAAGATGCGTGCATACGCATGTTCAGTAAAATGTTGTTGCAAAATCACGGGATGCTGTCAGGAGAAAATATCAGACATCTTATGCAAACCAAATATATATATTGAAACCCAAAAGATCAAAATCCACCATAAACAGCTTATTCACAATTTATCTTAAATTCAAACTATATTAAAAACTTGCAGAAACAGCCATCTTTTTCTTATAGAAATCCTGTACAGAGCCTTTTTCATTAGGCCTTTTCTATGCCGAAAAAAGAACATAACAGAACTCAAGTCATACCAAAATTTGACGTGCCAAACAGTTACTTAGTTTTGCTTACATTGTAGATAGGAGGCGAGAAGGTCCAGTTGGGTCATAATTAATCAACAGAGCAGCCTTTAGAGGAAGCCCTAATAATTGAATCAGTAAAACCTCAATCAATATGCATATATGCTTAAAGAATATTAAATAGACATAGAATGGTAGGTAGAGAGATGGAGAGTGCAAAGAACACGATCGTCAGTTTTCTTGCCTGGAGAACCAACACTGTTGGATGCCCATTTTTCCCAGATTCTGTGCACGAAAGCCCAGTCCATATATTGTTGGCTGGAAGCTGCAATGGTGGGAGATTGGATTAACATCCAGTATTCACCATTGACTAGTAAGAAAGTTCTCAACTACTTTCAAATCCAAAGACTAAGATCACCTCGCTTAAAAGGCCTTTTGGTCACAAGAATGTGAATGTTGGTGTCTTTCATGTTATTGTTTTTATACAATTAGCAAGGAGATTAAATCTGAAATCCCTTTGGCGTGTTAAGCCTAGGGCTCAAATCTAATACATGTCATCCCCAGGTATTGTTTGCTTAGTGTTTTGGGTTTAGGTCTATGTTATATAGAGTCTTAACATAACCTAAGTTCCCTTAGAAATAATTGATATAAAAAAATGACAATGTTGATCAGGTATATAAACTGCTTAATACAATCCAATATTGTTACCTTTCATGTATTGATTAGAATCATAAAGAAAGTAACTATGTAAATTACCAAATTGTCTACTTGGGAGATTTTGGATCTTCCAGGATTTACTAGCCAAAAAGTATATAGTTTAGCTCCCTAATTGCCAAACTTCTGCCATCCTTTCCTTTTTTCTGCAGTAAAGAATGATTACCAGCTACAACACACTCTACTTCTTCACTAGCATCTACCATCTTGCCTCTGGGTATACAACCTTATGCCCTAGACATTGCTACATGACAGGGCATTCAACCAACGCCAGAAAGGCAATTTTGCTGCACCTCACCCTAGCATGTCATTACTTCGCCTTTGCAAAAATGTTATAAAAATCATCCACATTCAACCCTCCGTCAAAATGAAATTTTCCTAATTTCCTCCCACCAACCTATTTGATAATCACTAATAAGAACAGCTGTCCTAATCTCCTCCAACCAACCTATTTTGCTAATCACTCACAAGAACTCTCATTAAATGCAATGTTGATCATAATGGTATCTAAACTGACATCGAACTAAAGCAAAACTCTTCCAGGGAAAAAAAAAATCGGTGGGTCATTTTATCGAACGGTTAAATGGCAAAAGCCAAAACTTGCTCTTTTTTTCCAAATTTGACTACGAGTGGTCCAAGATTTTCCAGCAACGATAGATATCAGCCAATTCCATTCATTCTACTTTCATCCTACCACATAAGAACACTCATAGAGAAATCCGTCAAGAATTCAAAATAGGTGGCCATGAGTAAACAAAAGGAAACAAAAAATCCAATCGAACAACTAATTCCCACATTTTCGGATATAATCAAAATGAAACTAACCCAGAGAAAGAAGAGGACTGTTACAATGCTTTGTCGGTTATGATTTTGGTGCAAGGTAGTTCTGGCGTAATGGCTCCTTCGAAATCTGCTCAAAATTCAAGAGGGTTTAAGGGCTCGTTTTTGTCGAAGTTGTGATAAATGATGGCTTCGATTAAGAAAAAATTGAGTCGAGTTTTAAATTATAGGCTTAGGCTAGCTGTAGTGCTAGCGAGCTCTTTTATATAAAGGCATATATCAAAATTTTTAGAAGACCTTGGTGTTAATTTCATTACTCCATTTTACTACCATCGATGGGTATTATAGATTTTCTTAATCAACATTTCTATTTTCAAAAATTTTATGAGGATAAAGTTTTTGAGTTTCCAAAGTGTCTTCCACTCGTCTAATCATTAGATAATTTGGATCACTTTGGAGCTTTGGCAACTGGTCATGACCTGCCTTGCGGAGAATTTTTCAGGTTTCACCAATTTTAAAGTGTTTAATTTTTCAGATTTTGTTTTGAGATTTGATTCAAATTATGGCATGTTAGCTTCTTCTTTTTTTTTTTTGGTTTCCTAGGTTGCTTTTTTTTTTTTTTTTTTGTCTTCGGAATTTATTGCTTTTTGGCTTTGGAGTATTTTGTTTTTCTAGATTGGGAACAATTTGGATTTGTGACTTACTCAGTTTGAGTTCCTCGAGTAAGTCCTGAGAAGAGCTCGAGTTATGAAATTTAAAACTAGACGAGCTCAAACTCGGGTTTGAGCATAACTATCGAAATCAAGCTTGAGCTATAAAATTTAACATTCAATGAGTTTCAACTCGACTTAAAGATAGACTATCATGAACAAAATTTAAACTCTGTTCGACTCAATTACACCCTTAATCACAGGTCGTAGCATTGCTAACTATTTCCATGTGCTAGTTGGAAGAGGGGTAAGGGGTGAATTGTAAAAATTTCTGATAAAGTTATACATATAAAAGAAAAAAGGGGTTAATTGCTCACACTGCACCACCTTGAAACTTAAAAATATAGACCTTGTCTCCAATTAAAAGCCGTTTCCATTAGAAATATTAACTCTTTAAAAAGTGTGAGTGTAATGATATCATTGTCTTATTATTGTTGAAATCATCCATAGTTAACTAGTATTGCTAACATGCATGCATGCATGCATACGTATGTACGTACGTACATACATATATATATATATATATATCTTCTCTACACTATGCACTATATGCAAATATTAAATTGATAAAACCAGAAAAGGATGCTTCTAATCTTTTCTTATGAATGTTGAATTAATTTTGTTTTTATTTATATATTTTTTAATTTATTGGACTTTAAATTGGATAAATAGTGATAAATTACACGACAATAACAATAAATTGGGTAAGTAAAATTTTGAAAACATAAGGTAATATTAAGCTTGTTATTTGTTAAATATATATTTTTTTTACTATTTTAGTTCACATAAATTGTTAGAAGAATATCATTATCATTTTTTGTTTATCAAATTAGTCAACTACTAAATTCTTAAATAAAATTGTGAGGAAGTATAAATATGCCTTACTTTTTAACTTAGAATAGACATTAAATCAAACACAATTTTTTTAAAGAAATAATAGGGCCATAATAGCAAACTATAGATGATTTCAACAAGACAAGGCTAATAATATCATTAAATTCATTTTTCTTGATCGAAGTTAAGTTTTCTAAAGTGAATTAGTTTTCATGGGGCAAAGTGCATACTTTTAGGATTGAGGGTGGCAAAGTGTAACTATTCCAAAGCTCATGAAGGCAAACCGTGATTTAACCTAAGGCGTGATGATACCTACTATGCAAATAAATTGAATGTACACCTATTATGTAAATCGCTCCTTTAAGCAGCCAAAGATTCATATGCATAACGTCTCTCAACGCCTCATTACTAGTGGATGTAGATGATTTTTCCTTCTCCTTTAATTCGGTTATTTTCATTTCCACCCCTAATTTTGAATCTGTTTGTCTATTGTGTCCCCTAATTTTTTGCAAATATCGTTACCTACCTTCATACTTTATATTTAGTCCTTCTAACTTCACTGCCAAAAAAAAAAAAAAAAACATTTGCTTTACAATATCTAAACACCGTTTGTCAGTTTTCCACACCTATCCTTTGACTGTGAAAAACATAATTTAGATGGATTTTAAACTGGTGATCAGCTTATGGCTATCAACTGCAAGGTATGGTTGTCCCTACCCAAATTCTTCATGGGTGATTGTGAGAAAAAAAGTACCTATTGGGATTTAAGACCTTTAGGTTTGCTCTTGCAACTGACCAATGCAATTAATAGCTCAAGTCGAACCAAATCAGGCCAACTCAATTTGAGTCATTCATTTCTCTGTTTTTTTTTTTATGGCAACGGTAATATTTCTATAATCTAACCTATCTTAATCTAGGGGGAGGGGAGCCGATGGGAGTAGAAACTCCATCGGACAAAGAAACAATCGCATGTAATGACGATTCCTATAATCTAACCTATTTTAATCTAGTCGGAAAAAGAGACAGTCACATATAATGACAATTCCTATAATCTAACATATCTTAATTTAGGGGGACGAGGAGGCGATGAGAGTAGAAACTCTATCGGAAAAAGCCACGAAAGACAGTCATACATAATGACAATTTGGTGGGAGGCAAGAATTGACCCTTGACCTTCCAACACCACCAAAACTGAAGTTGCTTGGCTGCGACCATCAAGCCAAAGTGCTGGTGGCTGAGTCATTCATTTCAATTGGTTCAATCCTAGTCATTAATTAATTAAATAGTGTGATTATAGCACTGCACCCTACTGTTTGTGATCGAACTACGACTTTGTGTGTGTGACCATCTACCGGGTCATCTCGTATGAGTTAACTAGAGTGTCTGTGCCAAAGGTGTCTACTTCTGCTCTTGTTATTGCTACTCAGCTGGCCTTCACAGCATTACTTGCTTTTATTCTCATCCGGCAGAAATTTATGCGTTATTCGATAAACGCAGTTGCTCCGTTGACGATCGGAGCAGCTGTCTCGGCAGTTGGCATTTCATAGTAGCAGTGTTCGGCCAAAGGGCGCGACGAAAAGTGGTTATTATGTGGGGGGGTTTTTATGACTCTTGCGTCCTCGGCTTTGTGTGGATTTGTTTTGCCCTTGATAGAGTTGGCTCATATGATTGATGGCCAAGAAGGCTATTAGTTTGACGCTTGTTCTAGAGATTTAGGCTGCGTATGGGTTACGGTACTTTTGATTAAAAAAGCCCTTTTAGGTGCTAAAAGTGTTTTTTACAGTGTTTGATGAATATCATTTCATAAAATTAGAAGTAAAATTTTTTGCATTAAAAGTATTTTTAACAAAAGTTCAAATTTAGTACTTTTAGATTAGATTTTGTGATTTAAAAAATAAAATATCAAATTTAATCATGGTATCCTACATTATAAATCAAATAAAGAGATATATACTTTTTAAAAATTTTCAAATTACATACTATCCAATACAATAAGTACTTATTGAATTATGCCTTCAAACAATATATTTAAAAGCATTAAAACAGTTAATAAGTATTTTTATTAAAAATTCTATTAGGAAAGTTTTTTTTTTTTTTTAATAAGCTACCACAACCCCAAAAAGACCCTCGGTCATGTGGTTCTCTGCTGCTGCTGCGTTGTTGGGATGCTCATAAATAAAGATTTCCAGGTAATTTCTTACTTCTTGCTCTCTCATTCACAAGCACAACATTAGAATCCAAAAATTGGAATTTGGGATGTTTAATCCATAGAATGCTGTTTTATTTTCTGTTCCCACGAATTTTTTGTGTCTTCTAATTAAGCTTTTCTGGTTAGTTTATTGATGCCAGAAGGAATTAGGTTCTCATTATAGAGAGCTGATTTTAGTTTTTAGATCATATGTTGCTTTTGGATTTGAATGCGGACTATTTGTTCATGCACGCAAAAGAAAAATTACGATTAAAATTTTGAGATAATTACTAAATTACCTGAAGTATAAACCTACAACTTAGCATATAAGGGCATCATTAAATGACCAAAATTCTTTGAGAACATCTATGCATTCATCTAACCGGCATTTTTAACACCAAAAGATTTTTATGAAAGGTTGATGTTCAAGAATCAAACCTATAAAATCAGACTAATTACATGAGTTAGCATTTAGTTAGTGAATTATTTGTTCTTTAGTGCACAGTCTATCCGACTAATTGTAGCCTAAATTGGATTTTTGACGCCACCACTAGAAGGTGTGTTTGAACTTTCAATTTGTTGGATCTATTTATATGACATTGCCCAAATGTTTATCTCATCTCAGTTGCTCAAATACATGAATTCTTTTTGTTCTTTTTTCTTCTTCTCAGTACGTGGGAAAGATCAAAATGCGCAAGGAGATGTTGGTTTTGGGATGTTAACACGATGTTTGAAACGCAATTTTAAAATCTTAGTTTAGTAACTAGTGCTAAATATAGTACTAGTAGCTTTGGTTTTAATTTAGGAATCTTACTCATTAGCCTGCCCTTTTCACATGCCACGAGTTAGGTTCAATGTAATTAACCTCTTCTCTCTGTATACCCACTAGCCCATACAACAGTCTCCTTAGGCTTCCCCTCCCCCTAGATTAGGATAGAGTAGGTTATACAAATGTATCGTTGCCGACAAAAAAAGTAATTAACCTCTTCTCTATTTTTCAACTTTTAAAATTTTTTTTTTTTGAGGGGACTTCTATTTATTGCAACACCAAGCATCATATCTCGTACCTTACATATCCACAGTTTAGCTAATCTTTATTACATATAATTAGCAAGTATTAGGTTATAAAATCACCTCTAATGAGTGGCTTTTCGTGAAAATTTTGGGTTTAGTTTTTGAACATTGAAACGTCAATTTTGAATAAATAATGCCGACTGAAAAATAAACGATGAATTTGTACGATAGATGTTCACTGAGCGCTCATTTATGGTGGTCACTCACACGTTTTGAATTTTTTTTTTTTTTGAGAAAAAAATTGTAAGACTAAATTGTGAAAAGGTATAAATGCGTTTGAATGGTAAGTGAGAAATCGTAAAAAATTTAACTTATGTAAATACTGGCTAATGAAACATTAGTAGGATGACGTGATTCTGCTTTCTTGATCTGTTGGTGGAGCATTCAATGGGTCTGGATTGTACAATGAATGTTGTGTTTCAGTTTATCTGATTATGTTGGATTTTTGAGCGGCCAATTTTGATAGAGACTTCCAAGAAACTG